AAGGAAGCCTAATAAGGCCCAAGCTTTCTTAAGCAGGTTCGTTTTTTAGACCTTGAGCCGTGATTATTCAGCATGGACGACTTCTTGTACTCTCACAAGCACACGGTCTCACGGGCGGGTTCGGTTGCCCTCGCCTTTTCGTACAGCCTGTACATCTTTGCTACCGTTTTGAGTGAATTTGTCTCGACGATGTTCACGGGCGGCGTCTTTCTTGAGTGTGGCCGCGTCTCGTATTTCCAGTTTGCTCTGCATTCAACGGCTGCTGCAACCCAGTCGTCTTCTGCGGTTTTTCTTCAGACTTATTCACGCGAATGCTGCAAGTAAGCGGATTCGGGCCATGTGACTCGGAGGCTCATCCATCGGAATATGGATGTTCATTCAGTCCTTTTCTTGTGGAGAGTGTTTTACTGTTGTGGGGTCGATGAGAGCGTCGCGCGTCGTCCCCCTCATAGCTGTGGGTTGCTGGTTCTTGCACAGAGAGGTTGCAGCTGCATGCTTTGCAAGTCGTTTGTGGCTGGCTGTGTGCCGGAAGGTTGGTCGCTTTGTACTATCTGGTCTCCCCGAAAAGAAATATAAAGCCACCTATAAGACCTGATATGGATCATCGGGGTGCCTATTTTCATAGGAGGCCCAAAGGGGTTTTAGCCTATGGGGGTCTAGTAGGGATTTGGGTTCCCATAATGGGGTTCATATAAAGGAATCCCTACCCCAAGAATCTTAAACCCTCCTTGTGGCTTCCCATCATATTTGCATCCGAAGAGCACTGAGGTTGGGCATCTGTTGAATGCAGCTCGGCTACAGTTACGGCGAGCTGCGTCTGCTTCGACGTAAGTCCAGAGGGATGCCCCTCCTGATCCTAACCGCAACCATCCAACCATCCGCTGGTTTAGGGTTGTGAACAAAGGGGAAAGGTTATTATGATTACTATGATTGTTATGAATATCATGATTTTCAGGGTTTCGGAGTTTGTACTTAGGGTCCTAGCATCGGCGCAGGTTTATTTGGCGGATTGGAGTGAGGTCCTGCCAACGGCTGCTTTGCTGCTTACAAAGCATGCAATGGCGCCATTTCGCTCCGTCTGTGCTCAGCATGGTGGACTGTCTGATTTAGAAACCCTGGGCCTACAACCCCAAAATAGTAGGATTCAGATAAGGAGCCCTAATCAAGGCATGTGGTTTCTTTATCAGGTTCCTACATTAAATGGCTCGACACGAAGTGTCACGATCGTGAGTCCGGAGGAAGGCATGCTATGATATCGGGCTTATGCTGTTTAGGGTTTAGGGTTTTAGGGTTTTAGGGTTTAGGGGGGTATCACACAACAGCATGCCTTTTGCCATGCACAGGTTGACAGTTTCACGGAATGTAGTTTTAGCAAAGTAGGTGTTCCTCGGACAGAAATGCTGCACATGTACAGCTGAGTTCCATCGAGCAGATATCTTCGGGTAAAAGGCTGCTACTTTGAGGGACAGGCAGCCCGTCTCAAGAGCTACCGCCCAAAAGGTGTCGTGCAATGGCTCCGAACGTGAGTAGTTCCATGCCAGGTGGGAGAAAAGCGACAGCTTCGGATACCTCCGTCCGAAGGCTACGGCCAGGCAGGTCGGGCATGACAACGAGAACTCCAATTACTTATGGGTTCAGGGTCTCGGGTCTAAGGGTCCCTCCCGTAGGGCTGCGTTTTTCCTTTTCCTTGTTACGGCAATGCAGCGGGGATGTAGGAGTTTCCGAAAATCAGGGTACCTTCTTGTTGGGGTCCTTATAATAAGGATCCTCCTATTTAGGGTGGTACCTTATTGTTGGGGTCCTTATGATAAGGATCCTCCTATTTAGGGTACTGTATTCGGATCTCCCCCCATTTTCTGCAGCAAGGATATATGAGGCTCCCGGGTTGGTTTCAGTGTTTTGAGGTGTTCCGGTGCACGTAGCGTGGCAGGTGGACTTGGGGACGTGGGGTTGCAGGATTCTAGGGTCCAGGGCTTTCGGGTTTTCGGGTTTTGGGGTTTTGGGGTTCAGAGTTTAGATTATAGGGTTTGGGGTTCAGGGTTCAGGGTTGAGATTAGATGACGGTTGCATGCCATGTTCCACATCCTACAGTCAACACTTCCGCAGCCTGCAGAAAGTGGTCTTGACTTGCCAGACTCATCTGGAGGTCTGATTACTTTCCAGGATTGTTGTCCTAAAGTCGCTATAACATAGCTTGTTCCAGTATACCTCACAGCGTTGCGAAAATCATTAACGCCCTTCTTCTGGATTTCCTGAAGGCGAAGCAAAGACAGAAGCATCCGTTTGCCAATCCACTTGCAGTGGGGTTCATACTCGGGTTTCCTGGGTGAGTGTAATGAATTAAAGGGCTCCACTTGAGCCGGCGCGTGCATGTTTTCCAACCATTGTGATGCTCGCAAAAGCACACCCTACTCAAAAAAGTTCTAAGCCTGAGACCCTAAACCACATACCTTCCCAAAGGGGTCCTAGGTGCTGTTATGAGGGATACTAATAGAAATTCCTAATATAGAAACCCTACATTCTACTGTAAAGGTACCTTGGACCCTTTGGGTCTAAAAGGCTTAAAACAACCGGATCCCTGCGCTCAGCGCGGCTACAAAGCCTGGGGCATTCCGCCGGACGCAGTGATGGTTTTCACTCTGGAGGTCTTGGATATTCAGTAGCTTTCCGACATCGAGTTGCCGCTGAGTTCTATAATTTAGTCAAAAAGATGAAAATGGGCGGAAGGCAAGCTGAACGTTGTATCGGAATCGGATCAGGCACACCTAGCTAGAGTCTAAAATCCTGCCAGCCCTGGATTCCTGATCGGGAGGCGCCTAACTTGCAAATTGCGGTTTAGGATTTAGGAATTCTCCAGGGCTGGCAGGCCTTCCTCCAGATCCAATGCGTTTCCATGACGCTTTGCACGTCTTTCAGAGACTCCGTGCCGCTCCGCCGATGAGTATCCCCAAATAGTAACCTACATAACTACTATCCGGAACCTAAGTACCTAATTACTGGGTCCTTTGGACCCTTAGGGCAACCCTTCAGACTAGGTTTATATAGCGCTTTCAAATCCATGTAAGCATGAGGTTTTGAGCCAGAAACCTTGCTAAGCGGCACAGTCTCAACTCTGAACCCGACACAAACCCAGCAGAAGGTCTGCAGCAAAAAAGGGGGCAAAAGGTCAGAGAGGAGGTGCTGCGAATGTAAGAGCTTACGGAGGGTTGTAATGGTGTAATGCTGCCAGGCGGGTGCGAGAAATCTGCAGCCCTTTCGCTGGTGCCCATGTCTTTTGTGTCGGCCGCAGTTGGCCAGCACTTTCTTGCACATCGAAGATACGCCCACCCTGAAGTAGTTGTCGATAGCCTTCACGTCAAGACAGTGAGAGCAAGCGTGGGCGTATTTCACAGGCAAGGCCGGTGTTTCAGAAAATGATGGCTATATGACTTTCAATCGTAGGATACTTACTCTAAGGAGCCTGCAATTTTCTGAAGGCCCTCCGTAAACCAATTCCAGTGCCTTGCACATAGGCCCTTGGGCGGGTTCCAGAAGCCTGCTGAAACCGGCCGAGGTGCTGTCGATCGGGGCCCAGCCTGCTGCAAGGTTCAGGGTTTAGGACTTTAGGATTTACTTTCACCCTGACTTACCCACCTGTTTAGGGTTCCTTATTATGATATATATATATATATATATATATAAAAGTCCCTAAAAATATAGGTTCTTGGGGGTTAAGGTAGGGTTTAGGGTTCAGGGTTTGGGGTTTAGGGTTTAGGGTTTAGGGTTTAGGGTTTAGGAGAGGAAGTTTGAGAAGCTCCAAATTTCCTGACCTACCGAGGGGATAAGATGATTCGAATCCCACAATCTCCCTCCCCTGGGTTTAGGGTTTAGGGTTTAGGGTTGGCCGTGCGGCATGCCTGTGCAGCTCTATATGCAGCCGGCTGGATCTGCGGCCCGGTTCTCCCGACACCTTCCGGTTCTTCCCCTATTGGGAAGGGTCGCTATGCGTGCGTCACCTACCTAGCTCGGACGACAAGCCGACATTCTTTAGGCAAGATCGATATGCGGGGCGAATGTTCAATGCATCTCGTTCTCGCACTTCCTGCCGTCCAAGCTGATAAGCCGATAAGCATGGGACAGTTTTTGTCGGAGGGTCAGTGATCAGTCAGCCTTTCAGCCTCGGAAGCTGCTGTAGACCTGCCTCCCATTATTATTGCCCGGACGTGATGACAGCGCACTGGTATCAAAATTTGCGATGCGCGGGCTTGTGGGGGGGGGGGGGGGGGGGAGTAGCTCTTGTTCGGTAAGTGCGGCCGTTCGCCCATCGTGAGCCCAGAGGGGCCGATTCACCCCTGAATTAAGGAAGTATATTGGTAGTTCTTTAAATTAAAGTCACTGTTAGAGTCCTTTTTATGAGGATGCCGTACTGGGTGGGGGACCCTGAAAGTAGGGAACTAACTACCCATACATTCGGCATAGTCCCTGAGTTTCATGGCAAAGGGGGTCTCTGGGAAGGTGGGCCGAGTTGAGGGTCTGACTCTGTTGTTGCAGGGATCTCGCCGAGTGGCGTGGCTCGCGAAGTTGGGCTCAGGAGTCTTCATGGAGGCGTGATCAATGTACAGCGTTTCCTAAGCCATCATGCTGTCTTATCTTCTAATACAACATATTATATTACTAGGCCCTAAAAGTCTTGGACCCCAAACCCTAAACCAGGAACCCTGGAGTAGAGGCCCTTTGACCCAACACTCCAACCTGCAAACCCTAAACCCATAGGTGTATAGCGTTTACATTGCATGCTCGGACAATCTTTCAGCGAGATGACCCAAGCGCTCTAACAGACTTGCGTGTAGATCTCAGAACTCCTGCGAGACAAGCTTGCATCGTAGCCTTGAAAGTTACCACATACGGTTGATGAGAAAATCCTGAATTACCCATAGTAAGGAGTGTACCATAATTCCCATAGTAGGGTCCTTAAGGTAATGCAGGAGTTATATCATCAACCATATTTGCTTGGGTCAGCTATGAATACTCTCCGCGAAGACTGCTGCGTTTGCCTCCGCCGCACCCGCCGACGGACGCCCTGCCAGCATCCACTGTGTGCCCTGACATGGCCTGGTTGATCGGTTTCGGCAGGTATCGAGTCTCACGGCCCCTCAGAAATCTGATGCGCACTTCGCCGCGTTGATCGAAGCTGTAGCCGTCGTGCCGAAATGTATACGTTAGGGTTTACATGGTTTGGGGATGTTTGGGGCTTACGGCTCTTGCAGCTTCTGCATTCACACCCTCCCCTCCCTGCAGGTAGGTACTGCTTCAAGCGCCTGCGGAGACGAGAATGCCCCTACTGTCGGAGCGAGCTGGTCATGACTGTACAGGAGAACCGGAGACATCTCAGGTCTCTTGTAAGGGCTCCAATAAGTCTTCTGAGGCTTGGTGGGCTGCAGGCCGTGTAGGGTTGGAGGGTTTGGGTTGGGGTTTCGGGTTTAGGGATTAGGGTTTCGGGATTAGGGTTTGGGGTTTCGGGCTTCGGGGTTGGGAAAAGTTTAGCTTCCCCTACGGTGTGTCAGCTGTCTCCTGGCCTGTGCAGGAGATCCAGCACAGACCAACACCTTTATCACCAGAGGATCTGGAGCTGCTGCGTGGCTACTGCTATGGAAGGATTATCTGGCCCCTTACCCTAAACCCTAAACCGTAAACCCGAAACCCTAAACCCTAAACCCCACGGATTGTGTAGGTGTTTGACGGGAAGGCGAGCCGAAGAGCGAGAACCAGTGCTTTGCCCTCATAGCTTCGATTCGCAAAGCTTCAAGACTCAAAGGGTAGAAGGAGGGACCCTTAATGGTGACCCCTACCTATAATGGGCTATATAATGGGTATATAATAGCTATATTAAGGCTATATACCTACCTTGGAAAGACTAGCCCTTCCAGAAAACCCTAAACTCTAAATTTCCTCGAGGTTGCGAAACTGCGACAGCTTGGACCAACTGCATGAGGTGGCCCTGACACTGTCAGGACCTCGCGGGCGACATACCCCGACTATATCAGAGTTCTTCAAAATGAGCGTGACGGCATATACGGCATGCAGGTTCTTTTGAGTGCAACTACTACTGTACCTAGTTAGGGTCGTATGTTGCTGTTTCTTATTTTCTGAAGCTCCCTTTCTGTCAGTCGGCAAGCGAGTTGTCTTGACAGCAGCATGCTGTGCAGGAAAGATGCCGACGAGCTCACCAAGTGACCGTCGAAACGTTATGGCTGCTGTCGCCAAGCGCTGTTGTTGTTCCGTGGCGCAGCATGCCGTGTTCTGTTTTCGGGTAGGGCTACCCCAAAATCCTAGACCTGGGCGCTCTTATATGCCCCTACCTCAAACCCTTGTCACAAGCCCTAAAACCGAACCCAACGCCCTGTAGTACAACCCGATAGTCAAACCCTACTATAGGGGCCTTAATAATTGGAATAGGGTTTGGGGGTATATTCTACTATGTATAGATAGAATAAGGAACCCCGAAAACCCTATTCTAATTATCAAGACCCCTACACTAAACCCTACACAAACCTAAACCCCTAAATCCCCCAAACCCCTGAACCCCAAACCGGTATATAGATCCTACTTGGAGGACCATGGGACTTTAGTAACTAGGGTTACTTTTAAGGTAACTATACTTAGAACTACTTATAACCCCAATTAAGGTACTTATTACAATACTGCCTAAGTCCCATGATTTTTTCAAGTAGGGTTTAGGGTTTATGATGGTTTAGGGTTTAGGGTTTGTGATTGTGATGGTTCAGGGTTTAGGGCTTATGATGGTTAGATTGTTTCAAGCACACTACACCGGAATGGGCCCGAAGGCTTCACCAGCTTGGGTTGGAGGTCTCAACTGGATGCCACCGCCGCAGCTCCTTGGCTCTTCTCAAGTACAGTAGCAGCCCAACAGTTGGAAACCCCATAGCCTGAATCCTCAAGAGTAATGTACAGGGAACCCCAGCACCATTTGGCCTTAATCCGATTTCCAACTTTATGGGGTTTACTGTAAGCAACCCTCAAACCTTGAATCCTAAACCCGAGGCTAAACCTGAAACCCCTAGGCCCTAGGCCCCTGAGCCTGAAACCCATGAACCTTAAGCCTTGAGACCGCAAACCCATAAACCCTAGTAAACTCTCAAATTTTAAGCCTGCCTTCAAACAAAGAGCCCAGGCACGAGTGATGTCGGGCCTCGTGGAGGATGGCTTGCTGGAGCCTTCACAAAGCCTGCACCTTACTATCGGGGCCTTTAAAGGGGTTCCTGTTAAAGGGTCCTATAAGGGATACGATGGGGGTTACTATAAGGAGTTGATTATTTCGGGGTGCACGGTTTCGTGTTAGAGCATGGCCATACGGAGTCCTGGGTAGTCCGTCTACTACTGCTACTACTACTACCTACTACTACTACTACTACTACTACTACTACTACTACTACTACTACTACTACTACTACTACTACTACTACTACTACTACTACTACAGCTACCGCTGCTGCGACTGCTGTGACTGCTACTGCTGCCACCACCTCTGCCACTGCCAAAACTGCTGCTACGGCTATGCATGCTACACTACTTCAGCTGCTGCTGCTGATATCAGCACAAGTAGTGCTACCAAAGCACAACCTTAAATGTACATTGTAACACCTCAAAACCCCTAAACCTTGAACCGTGAGGGAGTAGCACCCAGGCCTGCAGTCTGCCATCGTCGATGCCTTGCTGCAGCTTTGCTCTCATCCGGCCCGGCCTTCGCGGCCGGTGTCAGCGTGTGGACGGCGCCCAGTGTCAGCTTCATTGGCCCAGAGCAGCCTTCCGAGAATTCGCTATGATGGTAGTCCCGAAGCTCTTACACCTTCATAGGGTCTAGGGTTGAGTGTGTAGGGCCCCTTAACGGGGACCGTTCTTGACGCTACTTCTGGCTCTCTTCAAAGGTACCTTGTTGAGGGTCTATATCCCCAAGGGCCCCCATAATCTTAGCTCGTAGATTAGTGAGGTACCATGAATACATATAAATCATACAATATACATACATATATATATATATATATATATATAGATAGGTACATGTAAGAGGTACCCATGTCAATGTGTTTGTCCTTAGCCTTAGCATGCTCTGAGGCAAAGCTCCGGGCTTGCCCTGCTGGCTGCAGAAGCTGGGACTTCTGGCCACCTTTGCCGGCTCCTGGGCTTTTTTAGGGTTTAGGGCGTTAAGTTTAGGTCTTTAGGGTGTGGGCTTTCGGGTTTGGGCTTTTGGGGTTTAGGGGCTAGGGTTTAGAGGTTTATGGTTTCGGGGTTTAGGGCTTGAGGGGCATTTCAGGTTCAACAAGGTCTGAGGTTTTGGCGGTTGGTTTGGTTTTTAGACTCTATGGGGTTCGTAAAAGTGTGTGATGAAGGACGCCAAATGATTCGACACGAAGCTCCTTAACGATTATAAGTTATAAGCCCTGCTCAATCCGACTAGTTCGTATGCAGCACCTATTACACGCCTTAATTTCCGGCAACCCTCAGAAACCCAAACCCTAGACCACAAGAAGTCAGGCTCCCTGAGCCCTGAATTCTACGAGCAACGTAGGCTCCCGACTCATCACGGATGGCGCCAACTCTGTCGCGAGCTTGCTTCTGGACGACCTGCGCCGCTGCCCCTCGGCTGCAAGGGCTTTAGGGTTTAGGGGGTTAGGGCTCTAGGGTTTAGCGGTTTAGGGTCTAGGGTTTAGGGCTTTAGGGTTTAGCGGTTTAGGGTCTAGGGCTTTAGGGGTTTAGTGCTTTAGGGGCCTAGGGTTTAGGGGTTTAAGGGTTTTGGGTTGAGGGGTTTAGGGTTTCTGAAGCTACGGGTTTTCAGACTTAGGGGACCTGGTGTTCAAGATCAAGGTAAGCGGGGTTGAGGGGTTTAAGGGTTTTGGGTTGAGGGGTTTAGGGCTTCTGAAACCACGGTTTTTCAGTACTTAGGGGTCCTGGTGTTCAAGATCAAGGTAAGCGCTGTCCTTACACTAAGGATCCTCTGATGTAGGGTTCTCTAAGATGAGGATCCCAGTCTATACCCTAAATCGTAAACATCGAAGGAGAAGTCTTTACAAACCCTGAACCCATGCCTAAATCATACGCCTTAAAAGAGACTTCTCTAAGAACCCTAAACCCCGAGCCATCGTGCAAGAAGTTTGCACAGCAAAGGCTTGCCGGACACAGCCAGAGAGCTCTTGGCTTCAACTGAAGAGCTTGGCAGAGGGGCAGCTCTACTCCTGGAGGCATGTCTGTTCTTACAGGGGTTTGTGTTGGGGCATTGCAAGCGTTTGAAAAGGCTGCAGGGACAGAAAGTGCCAAGAAACGACAGGGTGCCTTCACCCCAATCCCTAAACCTAAACCCCAAACCTTAAACCCATCCCTCAACCCTAAACCCCAAGCCCAAAATCCTCTTGGGGCCCTTGAGGTGGACTCAGCGAGTGGGGCGAACTCCTCGAGCTCCCTACGAAGGGTTCTCGCGGAGGCGCTGGGGCGCATGGAGTGGCTCGGCTTGATAGGATTTTTACAAGGTTTTGCAGAGTTGTACAGGTTGTCTGCTCGGGTTCTTTGCGAGTCTTACAGGGTTTGCTAGAGTGTTTTCTACTTTTCCAGTACTTACAGGGTTTGTTATGGCAAATATCTGTCTCGATTTTCCGAGGGCCTTTTGGGTTGGGTTCTTAGTAGCAGAGCAGGTAACCTTTGCCTTTAACCTTTTTTGGGTAGTGTAGCCCCTATACAATCCCTATATACCCAGAAAGGTTAACCTTGAGTTCCCCATGATATTTGACAAGTAGGTTTTTTGGGGGGGCATGAGTTGGGGATGCCTTACGCAGGGGTCGGCTACGAAACTTCCTGCTCGCCATTGAGGTGTTCTTATATTGGGGGTCTCCGAAAATAGGGGACCCTTATATAGTACCCTAAATAGTAGGATCCTTATTAAATTTTCGGAAACTCCCATATTGAGGATCTTATTCTTCAAGGGGTATATAATCCTTTTCAGCATTCTGTTCCTCAGTTGTCCCGAACTTGTTTGTTTCGTTCAGTCTTTGGTTTTGGTAAATTTGGTTTTGTGGAAATGTAGTCTGCAGTTTTTCGCTGATGTACGACAAGCATGCCCTTATAGGCGCTGTATAACCCAACTATACTTCAACATGCTCCGAAGCCTCGTTCTTTTCCTGAAGGCTCCAAAATCTAAATCATTAACAGTCAACCGGCCCGCTGACGAATTTCTTCAGTTGTCGAAGCAAGTAGTGTCGCTTCCATCTCCCCAGCCCGGAACAGAAAGCACCAATGGTAACCCTACAGTGAGTGAAGAGTGAGTGAGTGTCGACCAGCACTTACGATGCGGCCTACCTCCCGCGTCCCTCTCAACATCTCAAGGGGGCTCCAAAAGCGTCATCGCCGCCCTCTGTCCCAGAGTTCAAGTGGGGAAAAATTAGCTGGTGCAGACAGGTCACGGTGTAGAATACTAAGATACATGTTTTAAACCCAAGAATCGGAGAGGCATAGTCCTTGATCAGAGGCAGGCAGGAGGCCAAGCCAGACGTCACCAACCGATAATACTTATGCTTATATGCGCCAAAGAACACACCAAGTAACCGGCAGCAGACGCAAAGAGTTGCAAGTGGGCGAACCGGGCGGCTAGTGCCGAGGGAGCGAGGCTCCATGCACAGAGGGCACACACAAGGCGACCCAAAGCCGAGCGCCATGTGCCCAGGGAACACTGTTCCAGCACCGAGGGCGAGCACGCCACCAATCAGGTACAGTAGATAAACATACACACTACCGCCGCAATGAACAGCACAGAGGCGCAGCGGAACAAAGCCGATAACAAAGGCAGCAATCCAGGGAGCTGTTCATGCATACGGTGAGCGTGGAATACCTCACATATACAGTGGATGTCCGCAGGCCCATGATGGGTGGAGACGTCGGCATCATCGGATCAGTTGCAACAGCAGTTAAGCCACGATACTAGAGGGCACTGTCGCCCTAGCACAAGGGAGGGGGGGAAAGGGGGTGCTCATCCGGCGAGAGCCCTTAGTGCCGCCGCCCATGGTCCACAGCCGTCACACCTTTCCACAAGAACCCCCACCCCAAAGAGAGTGCTAGGCTCGGGGGTGGTAACCCTACACTAAACTCTCAGCCCTAATCGTAGCCCGTATAAAATCCCTTGCAGCCCCCCTTGTTTGGAACCGTTGAAGCCAGCCTGTTCCACGTGTTAAGGACCCGATAAAACACCCAAAGAAGCCCGAAACGGACCCCCATTTATTTTATTAAGGCATCTATCTGGGAGTTTCCGAAAACAGGAGGCCCCAATCTGGTGCCCTAAATGGTAGGATCCTTATTATAAGGACTTCAAAATAAGGCACCCCTAATTTTCGGAAACTCCCATCTGAAGCCCTAGTAGTAACCAGTAAGCCTCTAGAGCCCTTTAATTAAAGAGCCCTTTTGTTGAAAGGAACCTTTGACTGTCAGGGGCTCCTTTCAAAGAGCCCTAAGAAAAGGGGCCTTAAGAAATTGCCTAGACTTTTTTGATTATGGTTTACAGTCTAGTCTAAATCTACCCCGGAACCCTATTCTAATCATCAAGGCCCCTAATAGTATCGAACTCCACTATAGATCCCTTCAAAAGGAACCTTCTTCGAATTCTTAAGGTACCCCTATAGCTTCTACTTTTCTTATTCAAGCCTACAGGAATTATGTAGGCCCCGTCAGCAAACCCTTATGGTAGCCCTTATAGCAACCCTTATAGATCCCTTGAAAAGGAAGCCTAAAGGAATTCTTCAGGCCCCTCATTATAGTACCCCTAAAAGATCGCTTAAAGTAACCCTTGTAAATCCCTTGAAAAGGAAGCCTGAAGGAATTCTTCAGGCCCCTCATTATAGTACCCCTACAAGATCCCTTAAAGTAACCCTTGTAGATCCCTTTAAAACGAAGCCTGTAGGAATTCTTCAGGCCCCTCTATTAAGGCATCCCCCCCCCCTCCCCCTGGGCGCCGAGGAGCCTAGAGGGCCCGGGGAGCGTGGCGGAGGTGAAGACCGTGCTGAAGGCCCCAGGGCCTCCCCCCCTAGATTAGGGTTTAGGGTTTAGGGCCCAGGGGTTTAGGGGTTTAGGGGTTTAGGGGTTTAGGGGTTTAGGGTTTAGGGTTTAGGGGTTTAGGGTTTAGGGTTTGGGGTTTGGGGTTTAGGGGTTTAGGGTTTAGGGTTTGGGGTTTGGGGGTTTAGGGTTTAGAGGTGAACCCTAATATAGGGGCCGTAATGATTGCCTATACCATTTTGGGGGTGCCTCATTATGAAGGCCCGGCTGCCCCCCTAAATCAGGGTTCAGGGTTTCGGTTTCTAGCCAGGGCTTTGGGATGTTTTGTATTTGCTCTTATTGGGCTTAAGAGGATCTTACTTACTAATATTTTTCGAAGGCTTAACAACACCTCCTAGCAAATTAGGGTTCAGGGTTACGGTTTAGGGTAAAGCTTAAAACCCTAAACCCTGAACCCTGAACCGTCTCTTGTAAGGCTTTGTAGTTTCTAGTTTTTGATTTATATATGTGTTTTTTTGAAGGTGTTGCCAGGGTTTGGAGTTGAGGGTTTCGGGAGTTTGGGGTTAAATGGTTTAGGATGTAAGGTGTGGGGTTTCGAAGGTAGGGTTTAGGATTTCAGGTTTAGGCTCTGGGTTGTAAGGTTTATAGGGTTTGAGATGTAAGGTTTAGGAATTCAGCCTCATGTTCGTGGTTCAGGGGTTGTTGCCAGATTGAGGCTATATTGTGTAATAAGTGGGGCTGAGCCTTAAACCATTAAAATGCAGACCACAAGCCACAAGAAGGTCTGCAGAAATTGCGAGTGGGAGATCTTGACAAGGACCCTGATATCGTCGGATCAGTATCACCAGGACCTCTGAAGAGGCAGGCCTTCTGTTCTCAGAACCCCTCCCCCCATGAAACACCAGTGTAAAGAACACACGAAGCCTATGGCAAACCGTCGCGAAACTTTGAAAGACCCCAGTAGCAGACTGGTTCCTCTGCTCAAACCCCACAAAACGCCCTTTAAGGCACCAGTAAAACCCGATAATGTAAACCCCCTGCGAAGTGAGACCCCTCAGTTCAACCCTCCTTAGACCTGAGACCCTTGTTCCTAAAGCCCTAAACCCCTAAACCCCCAAACCCCGAAGCCCTAAGCGCCTGAACCCCAAGCCCCAAAGCGTGTAAGCCCCTAAGCCCCTGTTGCGTCAATGAGGCGATGGGTCTCGCCCGAGGCGATGAGCCCAGCCTGGTGAAGCCCGGCGAGCGAAGAAGGCCTTTGAGGTTTAGGGGCTTAGGGGTTTAGGGGGTTTAGGAGTTTATAGGGTTTATAGGCTTAGTTGGGGTTTGTAGGGTCTAGGGTTTAGGGGTGTAGGGGTTCGGGGTTTCGGGGTTCCGGGATTTAGGGTTTATTGAGAGGGTTCAGGGTTTAGTGTAGGGTCTGCTAGGTTTAGGGGCTTAGTTAGGGTTCATAGGGTTTAGGGTTTCTGGGGCTTAGGATTTAGTGTAGGGGCCCTAATAATTAGAATAGAGTTTGGGGGTGATGCGGGCGAAAGCCTGTCAGCGAAGAGCGAGACGAAGGGAATACAAATGCATCCTCAAAGAATGTGTATATGCAAGCGTACAAAAGACATCTATAACTTACTGCAAATAGATTGCAGAAGTCGGAAGCGTTGCATCGTACTTTGGGGATTAGGAGTCCAACGTCTGTACAGGGAAATCTTTTGGTTTAGGGCATCTGCGTGTAAGGTTGCGCGGCTCAGCAAGAATAGAGTTGGGGGGTACATTATACTATAGTTATAATGAGGAGCCCCCAAAACCCTATTCTAATTATTAAGTCCCCCACATTAGGGTTTGGAAGTCGGGTTGAGGGTTTACCCTAGCTCAAAGGACATCCACAGCAAGGAACTCCAAAAAAGGGGTAGGTTTGGAAGGGTTCAGGGTGTAGAATTTGTTTCGAGTTGTGGGTATCAAGTCTGAGAACTAGGGCACCTACCATGAAGTACCCGAAGTATATGACTTCTTGAAGTTGTTGTAGGGGTGTGTAGAATTTGGGGGTCTGCAATCAAGCACGATGCCGGTTCGACAAGACAATACTATGGTCTCTAGCAACGTCCTTACTTGAGTGCATTTGGGCCGTCTTGGTCCGGTATTAGAATCGCGTCAGCAATGTCGTGCCCGCTAGCAGCATTCGGAGGCCCTTTGCAGTCGCATCATGTGGCGTTTGGGGTATGACATCCTCGGGTAGGTGCAGAAGCACTGACAGCGGGTGTAGCAGTTCATGTTGCGTTGGTGCTCTTACCCTAAACCCTAAACCCTGAACCCTAACAGACAGCAGAAGGCGCTTCGACGCAGCAGCTCTGCTTCTGTGTCTTCCGTATTCGATAGGATGGCAGCATGCGGTTTCCGTAACATCTGGGGCCCCTGGGGCTGCCCTTTGGGCCCGCCTTACTTGGAGGATCATGGGACTTAATAACTAGGGTTACTATTAAGGTAACTATACTTATAACTACTTATAACCCCAATTAGGGTACTTATAACCATACGAACTAAGTCCCATGATCCTCCAAGTAATGGCAGTAAGACTTGTGCACTTCATCCTCTGCAGGCCGAAGTCTGCAGCAGGCCGGAGGAGGGTTCGGGAGCTTGCAAAAGGTGCTTCTTTTGTGTGGGGGGTGCGGTGCGACAGGCAGAACATAGTGACATCGTGCATGGATGGGGGGGGTTACGTGTAACCTGCCCACCCCGGAGATAATCTATGACAGAGTGCTGGCACAGATTCATGTCGACATGTCGAATGTTCCAGGATTCCCTCCAGGTGTGCAGCGAGAATTAGAATAGGTATAGTATAGACTGGCATGGGTTGCCTCACCGTTCAGGCATTGGCGCGGTGCGAAAGACTCGCCCTGCTCCTCTCAGCGCCAGAATTGCCGGTGGTGTGTGATTACGGTCGGGAAAAAGCCGCATGTAATTGTCCTATACCCTTAATATAGCTATTATATACCCACTGTATAGCCCATTGTAGAGTAGGGCTCCCCATTAAGGGTCCCTCCTTTTCCCCTTTGAACTTGTCTTGTGGTCCGTGGCAGAGGATGTTTGCAGTGCATTTGCCACCGTTTTTGGTTCGGCTCCAGCCTTTTCCAAACCTGTTTTCACATCTTTTCCACGCACAATGAAGCAACATTCATGGCTCTTCTGGGCCATGCTGTGGTCAGAGTCTCAATGCACGACGGCTTTGGGGCTTTTCGGGGCGTTTCACTCCAATCTTTGCACTGAGGGCGATGCTGCCCGCAGCTGCTGCGATGAAGCTCGCACAGGCCTTGGTGGGGGGAATCGGAGGAAGTCTCTGCTTCGGTCCGCGGCAGGAGTCGAACGCCTCTGCGATGGAAGGCACAGGCGGCCTTCAGAGCTCGGCTCAGCTCAAGACTGCAGCTCTCATCGATCGTTCCTCGTCCGCTCAGAAGGGAGCTGTGTCTCGACAGCAAGAGCTCGACGCCGCCGTGTCGGCGAAGCGGATCCCGATCGTCTCCGATGTTGGGGATGCCATGGCTTCAGGAGGCGAGGCCTTTGTGGACGGCGTGTCCTCTGGAGCCGAGGTGGTCGGCAACGAAGTTGCGAGCGCCGGTACCGCAACCCTGAACACGCTTGAAGATGCAGGCATGACGGTTGGCACCGCTGCTGCAAACGGAGCCACGGTCATCGGGAATGGAATTGCCGAAGGGGCCGAAAGCACCTTCAATGCCGTAGCACCGCACGTCGTGAGCTTTGGGAATAGCCTGGGAGAAACGGCAGTTTCAGTGGGCAACGCAGTGGTCGAGGTCGGGGAGATGGTCGCAGACGAGACGGTGACACTAGGAGGTGCGGTGTTGGATCACGCCAAGAAAGGCGTTGAGCAAGGAGTCAAAATGGTCAACAAAGTGGGGAAGGCGATTGGCGACAAGATGACAGAGCTGGGAAACGAGGTCGCCAAGCTTGGGCCAATCATTGCAGGACTGGCGAAATCCGCTTGGAATGAAATCAAAGACTTCGTCAGCTGCCTTGCAGAAGGCTTGACACTCTGCTCCGTCTTGATCGGTGAGTATTGCGACTGCAACGCAGGTAGCTACATCAAGTTCGCGACGCCGGGCATGCATTTGGGGATAAACGCTAATTGCGCTTGTCCTACGTAGGCGTGTTTTTTTCAGAGTGTCGACATCCACACCCAGGAACGACGGCATGGAAATGCGATGCGTCTTCAAGGTGGCCGCTGACTTCGGGAAGGGCTACGGGGTGACAGCGACTTCGGGTGGGCAGTTCGGCGTGATTACCGAGAGCGGCGTGATCACGCTTCCTGGAGACGAGCTCGAACAAAGCTTCAAAGCAGCGGGGTCACCTTTGAAAGCTCGCAAGGCCATGGACGACTTGTTATCGCCGGCACCATCAGGGTCCTGCGAAACTAGCCTAGAGGTGGCTGTTGATGGTGTGGTGCAATTTGCCCCGGACCTAACCGTCTCCGTGAACAAGGATGGCGACACCAAGATGACGATCAGTGGAACCGTTCGTTCATCGTATCTTGTTCCACAATGTTTTGTGATGTGTTACGTCAGTTTTCCTTGCTCGCCTTGTTGACAGTACTTTGTGCAGACATCTCGTCTGGAGCCAAGCTGGCGCGAGCCCTGCCGAGGATTGATTCCCTGGTCAGGGGGCAGGGCAGCTGCTCCTTCACGGCTGCGAAGCACTTTCCCAAGAAGCCCCTGAAGAAGGCTATGGGGGCCTTAATAACTACCTTAAACCCTTTCTAAGTGTAGTGTAATGTAGGTCATCTGCGCCAAAGCCTTCTGCCTGGTCATCGCGCTACAGATGGTCGCTGAGCTGGAGATGACAGGGACACTCACCGGAACCATCACGACCTCCTCCGAAGTGGACTTCAACATCTATGGCACCGTGGACGTGAACCCCAGGGGTGAGGCCGATGTCTCATTCAACACCCCGGAGATCACGCATCAGGACAGACATCCCCCAGAAATCACCATCTTTGTAGGGCTTTCGTCGATGCCCGTCATAGGCTCTACAGTAGTATCCTCGTCATCAGCCCTCTTGGAAGTGCCGATGTGGGTCCGCCTCAACCCCTGGACCGGAAGCTCCTTTGTGAAAGCATTCGACCTTCCCAATCCTCGAGACCTCGCACGGCCTGCAGTGTATAGTGTAGGAACCTGAGGATTCATATAAGGAACCCTAAATAAAGGCCCAAGGTTTCCTAATCAGGTTCCTACATTAGACTTAAATCAGACCCGCTGAAGACGAATGTCTGCTTGTCGTAAACAGGGCCAAACTTGCTGTTCAGAGTTGAAGGTTCCTAACCTGCGAGGTCTTCAACGGAGATCAGGGAAGTGCTCAATGTAAGCTTTTTCCCCGAACCCGAGCTCTTGAAAGGAGGGATGGGCGATTGGTGCCAGTGCATTGGCCTCCGTGCGCGTGGGTGCCGGACCCGTCCTCACGGCCACCGCCTCAGCTTGAGCGGCTTCTTTTTACTAAATAATGCTACGCAGCAACGCAAAAGAAGTTAAGACCACTAAAAGGATCTTTCGGGCTAACTTTGGTTTACGCTTCAGCCGTGAAGCCAAGCCAGGTCTGGCCCATGCCCGGTGGCTGGGCAGTTCTTAGAAAGACTTACGTTGTTCCTTTTCGCCTGAGCGATGCAGGCCAACCGGTTCAGCCCAGATGCTAGTCTTATTCAGCTGCGAAGCCAAAAGCACCGGCAACCCGAGGCGTGCCGGTGAATTTCAAGCCCATGTTCAACGCGCAAGCCCAAGCCCAGGGTACTCTGGAGTACAAGTCGTACGTTTCACTCCTCCAGGACTTGTCGTTCTCTCTGTCCCTCTCTTGTTCCCAATCGCATTCTCTCTGGCTCTTTCCGTGTTGTTGTTGCGTTTCATGTTCCAGGACTCTCAGCGTGTCTTGGCTGCGACAGACTCCAACATGACCTCCGTCGTCAGCGAGAACATGACGTTGGCCTTGGACAGAGCCCCGAGGGAGCTGAGCATGTGCAATGCCGCTGTCCGAAGCTTAGCCTTCCCAGCAAAAAGGGCTTATGACCAGGATGGCGTACAGTGGCTCAAGGATGCTGAGAGTATAGGGTTGTGTGGATTTGAGGCCTTAGGGTCAGCTTGCAGGCGTTGTCGATCTACGCCGACGCCGACATCACGGCCTTCGCGCTGCCGCCCGCCATCCGTGGCCATTTCTCGACCAACGTCATCAAGGAGGCCCTCGAGAAAGCCGTGATGGCCGGTGCCACAGCCCTGTTGAACATGATGAATGGCGTGGCGAAGTGCGTGCCCGGCATGGACAAAGTGACGGAGAAAATCAATGCCGCGGCCACCGCCGCCAAAGGCGTGCTGTCCTCTCTCATCCCCAGCATCAACCTGGACTTCAATCTCAAGTCCATTGTGCTGATGGCCCCTGAGACGTTCTGGTGCAAGGAGGTCTACACGACACCTGGCTTCGATACCGCTCCCTGTGCGGCGGAGCTCGGGTGCAAGACCGCTGGACGTTCCTCCGAACCTGGGAGCGAAGTACCTCCACCCGAGCAGTTCGAAAAGGTTGAAAGGCGGATTCAATATTCGGACACATGCTACGATATCCCCATGGGAGATCACTTCATTCAGCTTGGAGATTGGCGCCTGGCTGCCATTGACTACAACCACTTTTCGATCTCACACAGGGAGCTTGGCTCAGTTGTTGGGTTCCTTTCTGCAGTGTACCTCAGCCCCAGGGACTGTTAACATAGGGCTTTAATAGTTAAAATCGGGTTTTGGGGCCCATTATACTATAATTATAATAAGGAACCCCCAATATAGTATAGGTAATTATCAAGACCCCTTTATTACTGTAATGGTACTGCCGCTTTGCTTGGGGGGGACCTCAAGCTCGGAGGAGTGTAAGCTCCATCTTGCACCGATCAGGGGAGGAAGACGGCGCAGATCTTCCGGAGCGATGGCACCCTACACCCCGGTCCTCGCACTGACTGGGGCGCATGGCACTTGAGCCGGGTCTGCAACAGTGTGTAGTGTAGGGTTCATATACCAGTCGGTATGTTCCTTCTTCTTTTACTTCTCGTAACGCTAATCATCATCGTGAACATACTAATGGGAAGCAGCACTTGCGCCCTCCAGACACTCTTCCAGGTAGGGCTTCAGGCTTCATCTGATTAGACCTGGAGGCGTACTGGTACTGGATGTCAAGCCATAGCATGGTGTGATGGTGGTGAGGATGATATTGATGGTGATGGTGATTGTGATCCTGGTGATGGTGATTGTACAGGGGATGGTGACGATGGTGTTGCTGTTTGCTGTTGCTGCTGGTGGTGCTGCTGCCGATGCTGCTGCTGCTGTTGCTGGTGCTGGTGTTGTTGTTGTTGCTACTAACTACCGTTGTTGTTGTGGTCCTCGTTGTCGTCGTGGAGGTGGTCGTGGTGGTTGTCGTCGGCGCGGTCGTTGTCGTTGTCATTACCGTGGTCGTTGTGGTTGTCGTTGTCGTCCTCGTCCTTATCGTCGTTGTCGTTGTTATTGTCGTTCCTCTTGTTATTGCTAATGTTTGTTTTGCTATTGCTATTCTTGTTGTTCTTCTTGTTCTTATTCTTGCGGTTGTTATTGTTATTGTCCTTTCTGTTCTCCTTGGTCTTGTGCTTGATATGGTTCTCATGATTGTTCTTCTTGTTGTCGTCGTCGTGGTTGTTGTCGTGATGGTTGTCGTCGTCGTTTTTCTTCTTCAATTATTGTTCTTGTTGCTGTTGCTGTTGCTCCTGTTCCTGCGGGTGCTGGTACTGCTGCTGCTGGCGCCGGTGCCGTTGCTGCATTTTGCTGGTTCTGGAGATGTTGTTGATGGGGTTGATGCCCATGCCCATGCCCCCCAGCCCACGCCCACGGCTCAGGCCATCGACGCCCATGCCACGCTTGCTGCGTTTGCTGCGCCCGCTGCTGCTCATGATGACGTTGATGATGGTGAAGCTTCTGACAGAGATGGTGAACGAGGCGAAGGGACCAATGATGATCTGGTCTACTTGCTGAGGATGGTATTGATGAAGATGAATTAGGCAGTATGCGGCAACTTGTAGGTGATGGGGCGCGGATGCTTTGTGTCGTATGCGGTTCCTCGACCCTGACATACTCACTGCCCAAAGCAAAGGCCTGTGCTGCCGCATGGCTCCGCCAAGGGAATCGCGTTCGGATTCGAGTTCATGCAGATCGGTGCTTTCCGTCTTGGTGCAGTGGACGACAACCACTTTTCAATCGCGTGCTCCGGACGCGAAGATTGAAATTTTCTTGGTTGAAATGCAGTCATGTACATGTACCACAGGTGTGTTGCGCGGAAGTGTTCGCGTCTGAAACCCCCCTTGCCTGAGGCACAAAGGCGGAAAGACCATTCAGATCTACCGTCAGGATGGCACGCTGCATCCCGGACCTCGGACCGACGCTGGGTTTTATTGACGGGGGGGGCGACGGTCTTTTAAGCAAAAAGCTCCTGCTGCAGATAAGGACTGGAGCACCTGGGATCGCCGGGTGGGAAATCCGGTGGGGATCACATTCGGGGACAGGCTCCTTGGAGTTTCAGAAATATCAGGTCCACATAGCCCTGCAAGAGGATCAGAATGAAGCCACAAGAAATCGGCCATACAGAACTCGCACCGAGGTTCGTGCAAATGGGAAATTTCCGGATTGGGGATGCTGACGGAGGCCACTTCCTGGTGTCCCACATCAACGGATGGACGTGCCAGATCTACCGTTCGGATGGCACCCTACACCCTGGGCCTCGCCGGGACTGGGGCCCTCGGATTTTGCACCGAAAGCCCATGAAGTGGGGCTGCGAGGGCATCACAGAGATGGCCTTCGGGCCCTGTGATTCGGACTTCGGAACGTTCGGTGACCGCTTCATCCAGCTCGGGCAGTGGCGCATTGCGGCCATTGATGCCAAGCACTTGTCGGTGTCGCACAAAGGTGGCAGAACCGCCGAAATCTACAGGGACGATGGCACCCTTCACCCCGGACCCCGCTCGGATTTCGGCTCCTGGGGCCGTCCGACCGGCTTCCCCTACGGCATCACCTTCGGGCCCGGCTTCGTCCAGATCGGCAACTTCCGCTTGGCAGCGATGGATGACAACCACTTCACCGTCTCACACCGATGGCATGGTGGGAGGACGGCACAGATCTACCGGAGCGATGCCACCCGGCACCCTGGGCCAAGGTCGGACTGGGATGCCTGGGGCCTCAGCGCGGGGCCGCCTACTGGCATCACTTTCGGGGATCGCTTTCTTGAGATTGGGAAGTTCCGCCTCGGTGATGCGGACGGAGGACACCTGGTCTTGACCCACGAGAACGGCAAGATCCTTCACATCTTCAGAAACGATGGCCACAACTTCTACCACCAGACAGGCCACGCCGCCATGGTGAACAACCGCAATCTGCACCAGCACTGCAGGAGCATCTATGCGGTCCTGGGCTCTTGTCCCGGAATTGCCACGGGTGAGAACTTCATGGAGATTGGGGACTGGCGCATCGCCGCCATTGATGGCAACCACTTCTCTGTGTCACACAGGGATGGCCAGACTGCTCAGATCTACCGCAGCGACGGGACCCGCCATCCCGGGCCCCGCACGGACTGGGGTAGCTGGGGTTGGGAGCCCAAGAAAACCGGCTCGCACGGAAAGGTGCATTTTGGCGACCACTTCATCCAGTTCGGCAACTTCCGGATGGGTGCAGTGGACGACAATCACTTCTCCATCTCCCACAGCGGCGGCCAGACGATCCAGATCTTCCGTTCGGATGGCACCTTACATCCCGGACCTCGTCGTGACTGGGGCTTGTGGCACCATTCCCGCCCGATTCTGGACGTGCCTTTGGGCATCACCTTCGGTGATCGCTTCGTGCAGATCGGGAAGTTCCGAGTTGGAGACGTGGACGGCCGGCACTTCTCCGTCGCGCACGTGGGTGGCAAGACCATGCAGATCTTCCGGGAAGATGGGACCTTGCACCCCGGCCCACGCAGCGACTTCACAACGGTTGGTCGCCCAATGCATCAGTGCCGGGTTGCGGATGTGGAGCTGTAGCTGAGAGGCGCTCCTTCCCGTTCTTTTTCAAAACCGGCAGGATGCTGTGCACATTCGGTTGCCGCAGCTGGGTTAATTAGGCATGGCACCAGCTGAGATGGATCGAGTTTCAATTGCTTTCCTGGTTTCTTGCGGCTCTCAAAGCTTGCCGAACGGCGTGCTTTGCTGCAATCTTCCACAATTCCGTTCGGCTAGGCCGGGGCACTCGACGAGCCGATGGAGCGAGGGGTTCAGAAAAGATGGCGCTTTGCGGAAGATTCGGAATCGGAATCGTGCAGCCACGGCCTCAGGTAGTCTAGAACAGCCTGCACTCTGCATTTCACCTCGTCTGCGTTCGCAGCTACCGTAGGGCTTCAGCTCAGAGCAGCTGTCAGTGGCAAAGCAGAGTATCCACGAGCTGCGCAGAAGAGTTGTTCCTATCAGGGTGCATACTATGCCCCCAACCAGGCCTCTCAAGCATTCGCGGACACAAGCAGCATCCATCAGAACTTCATGCATCTCAAGCGAGACCGCCAGCATTGAAAGGCTTCTATTCTGTTATATTGTCGGTAAGTGCAGAATGCACCTTGTGACAAATCAGCAACCGAGCCGGTGCCGAAGGATCTCGGCTCGAGTTGCCTCCTGATTGAATCTCTTTTGCAGGTCATAGGCCATGTCGTGCTCGACTGTGGCGATTGACTTTGCTTGGAGGCAGCTGGCGGCCATCAGTGTCCTTACTGGCCTGGAGGCGGCCGAGATCTACGACGCCTGGCTGGAGGGTACCCGCCACGCTCTTCTCGAGTTGCACAGCTGGGTCGGCAGGGCTCAGTCAGTGGCTCTCCTTCCGTTGATCGATCTCTTGACGACCCTCCATTGCGGATCGGTGCAGCCAGTGGGATCCGGCACCATTGCTCCACGGGGCACTTCAGTGTTGTCTGCAGAAGATGCTCGGTCCGAGGTGATTTCGACTATCTTGCGCTCTCGGGTGCAGCTGGCTTTGGTGCTGCCAATGCAGGATCCACATCGGAATCTGCGTGAGCTGGTTGCAGCTCACACGCTGTCGGACATCATGCGCTCCATCGGCGAGGACCGGCATTCAGGTTTCTTGATGTGCAGAAGGTTGTCGGAGCAAGCAACCGTGCCTTGGATAGCTCCTTGGCTCGATGGCCTCAGCGGCCAGTTTTTGGGAGGCCTTGCGCCTCAAGGGTCTGTCTGAGATAGCGCCCGCATGTGTTCGAGCCGATGTCGTTTCTCTTGAGGGTGTCCGTAGCGCGGGTCTTGCGTTGTTGAGAGAGGGAGTGCAGCGATGGCAGCTTGAAATGTTACTAGCGGCTCCGGGTGATGGAGCGGTGCTGGCAAGACATCGAGCTGATTTGCCGCCAGTTCGGAAACGGCAACGGGCGTCGTTCGACTTAGCTATGCAGGCTGCGGCACCCAGCGAGCGAGCGAGGGCGCTGCAGGAACTTGATGATGAGGTCCTCGCCAGGACGACCATAGGACCCATGGAGTCCCGTCTCCTTGTGTGGAGACGCCTCTGTGAGGCGTGGGAGGTCACAGCCTTCCCGCTCGACGACAAGAACGTCCGTGCTGTTGGAGCATCTCTGAAGAGGGGTCGGTATCGCTCAGCGGCCCAGTATTATTCTGCTGCGGTGTCATTCCAGGTCCGTCGTCTACACATAGCACTTCAGCCGTACATCAAAGCTCTGATACGGGATTGTGTGAGGTCCATCAAGCGGGGCCTCGGCCCTTCTGCCTTGAAGGACTCCTTTGACGTCTGCCTTCTCGCACCTCACGTGCAGCCGGGCACCGAGTTCGAACCTTTCTCCTGGCAGGACATGGCCGCGGCCACAGATGCTCTGCTGGTCGCATCCTACTGGTGTATGAGGGAGATTGAAATGGCCGGAGCTTCGTCGGATCATCTTTACTTCAGGTCAGGATTGGCTCTGCTACTTCTCCCAGTGCACAAGACCGCGGCCAGTGGTGCGCTGACGGAACGGGGTTTGGCCTGCGGGTGCTCTGCTCGGCAGCACCCTCTCTGCCCGGCCTGTGCAGCTCGCAGGCATGTGCAGCGATTGGAAATTTTACAAGGAACGCTTGATGCCCGGACCTTGCCTCTCTTTCCCGGGGATCGTGGACAGGTGTTGGAGAAGCGCGAGGTGGTACAGTATATCAGGGACACCTTGCGTCGGGCAGGCATTCGCACGACCCGACCGGACGAGGTCGGCCGAGAAGTGGACCGCTTCGGCGGCCATGTCCTCCGTGTCTCTGGCACGCAGCATTTATACCTGCTGGGTCTCCGCTGGGACCTTGTTCAGCTTCATGGGCGATGGTCCTCAGTAGCCATCCAGAAGTATCTGCAGGAGGCCCCGTTGCTGCAGGTGCCAGGCACTGTCGCTCAAGCACTTTCCTCCGACGATCCATTGCCGCCACCGCGACTGCGAGTGCGGGTCGCTGCTGACGACGCGAGTGTGCAAGCTCGCGGAATCGAAGGCGATCTTGAGTCTTGTGCCCCTCCGGCCAATGGTGGATCGGAGCTGCGTGGCCCAGCCCAGCAGGAGGCGGCGGCTCTTCAGATCGAGTTTCGACCGATGCGGGACGCCATGGAGGCCGTGGAGACCCTCGTGGTAAACACCAGGACACGGAGGGCCCACAAGCCCGATTCGAACGAACAGACCACACAGCAGGCTCTCTGGACCACCTCTTGCGGCATAGCTTATGGCAACTCACGATTCTTCCGGACGAGGAGTGACAGACCCGAGTGGGCGCGGTGCAAGCGGTGCTTCCCCAGCCAGGATTTGTCAGCAGCAGACGACAATCCAGAGTCGGATCCCGAGAGTGCCGGGAGCTCTAGCTCCTTGGACTCTTCTTCGTCCAGCTCTTCCTCCGATTGAGGAGTGGGGCGATGATGCTTTATAGGAGCCTTGAGGGAGGCTCCTGTTTCTTGGGCAGTTGGCCCCAGGGCGGCAGTGAAGACAGTCGCGCGGGGTGCACAAAGAGTAGACTTGCGTTAGGGCAGCGATACGTGCAGCGATTACATCCCGATGCTTGTGTGCTCTCGCGCGTTAAATGTGCTCTGTCAGGACATCGGTCTTCCCGTTGCTTCTCCTCTTCGTGTTCCAGGAATCATGATCGTGGCCGGGCAGCCGCAGCATGGTCCGGTCCTGGACCTTCAGGAGGTAGATTGATGGGGCCAGTGGGCGCCACCATCGAGCACACGAGGCTGGGAGGGCAGCGCGTGAGCTGCCGGTCTCCGCCCAGTGCCGGACTTTTTGTAAGTGCGACGGGACAGGTGGCTCCCAGTCGAAGGCGCCAAGAGCGCAGCGGATGACACGCGATGTCGGGCCGCGCTCTCAAAAATTCCGTCCTCCTTGAACGGGGCTGCGAGAGTTGTTGTGCGGTGTTGGGTTGTCATGCATGCCGTCCTGACATGTCGGTTGCACACGCAGCATGAGGAACCATGTGTTGCGCAGCGTTGTTTTCCACGGCAAGTGCCGATCCGGCCGCCATAGGTAGGCCGGGGGCCATGGCTCTCGATGAGCTGGCAGATAAGGCTGGGGCCGGCGAAGAGGTTCGCCGATATCTGAAGCTTCGCGGAGTTTCGAGTGCGGGGACTCTCGCGATGCTGTCTTCATCGGAGGATGAGTTTCGGACAATCTTTATCGATCCTTTGCTTGCGGGTTTCAAGGCTGGCACAGAGGTGGTGAAGCTTGGTGACACAGAGAAGCCGATAGCAGCTGCAGTGCTTTTATTCATGAGGCGCATGGCGGTGCAGGCTCAGCAGGCAGCGGCCACTCCCGCAGCATCTCCTTTGCCGACGCCCACCGGGACAGGAGCTGGGACTGGTGCTTCATTAGCCTCAGGCCCCACGAGCTCCGATGACAAGGTTCCGAGGACCCTCCCGGCAAACGTCTGGTCTGATCAGATCAAGAAGTACGAGGCCACGGTCATTCAGGGACGGAGCCGGGTTTTCCCACAACGCCAGGTCCTGGGTGCTGAAGCCGCCTTGGCCAAACTATGGCACTACCTCAAGGTCACGCGCAGCTTCGCGCCGTTGCCCCTGGGCGAGATCCTCAGTCGTCGGAGCTTCGATGCGACGGGGCAGGTGAATGCGTTGTCCAAACGCAAGCACAAAAGCGAGCTCGTGGTCGACGTTGACCGCGACAGGCTGGTGGCTGAAGAACAGGACGATAGCTGGGAGCCTCGCAGCATGATGGCCGTGTGCGATGCTCTGAACGCTTTGAGATGGGCCTACATCCTCCTGGAGTATGGCCACGAGTTCGACGTCAACGAGCTCTTCGACGTCCTCATTCAGCGAGCCCGACAACGCCCTCAGCAACTTGAGCAGTTTCGCTCCTACTACGAGGCAGCCATGTGGCAGCTGTGCACCGAGCTTCGGAGCGGCAAGACCTTCAGCGAGGCCATGACAGTTGTCAAAGAAGACGTTCACTTGTACCAGGAGACCATGTCGAAACCTCAGAATTCTCCACAGAAGCCCGGGGGGGATCGCAAGCGCAAGCTCAACGAGGACTCGCCGGCCAAGACGGAGACATGGAAGCAGACCCCGGGGAAATGGCAGGGCCAGCAACGCGGCGAGCGGTGGCAGGGCAGGTGGAAGTCCGGCCAGCCGTCCAAAAGCTCCTAGGGAGTCGGAGACCCTGGGACCGGAGGCGACCCAGGAGGTTCCGCAGCCCATAAGCCTCCTTTGCAACGCGGGCAGTCGTCAGCTTCATGGGATTCGGTGGGCAGCAGCGCATGGAAACGTGGTCATGGTCCAAGCTATCTGGATTGGGGACAAGGGCGGCCTCACCCACACAAGGCGGCTTCACCGGATGTCGGACATGCTGACGATGTGCGCGGGCCTGCAGTTCGTGCTCGGGATTGGGAGCAGCATAACCCGGAGGGCGGATCAGGGACCCAGCAACGGTCCAATGTCGCGGCCAGAGCGGAGGCTCCTCCTCCGCCACCACCACCTTTCCCACCACAGCCACCGACCACATCAGCGAGTTCGTCCAACGAGGCGGGGATCATCCACCTCGATTTCTTCTCGGGGGTCGGGGCTGCCTCACTGGCTCTCCAGCGGCTGGGCAGACCGATCAGGTGCACCTTTCAGTGGGAGATTGACGACGCAGCGAGGCGGGTTTCCAAGCGAGCGACCCGCCGACTACTTGTTTCCAGCCGGGGCGATCTTCGTCAGGACACTCCGGAGGCAGCGGCGAAGGCGATTCGAGAAGTTCGGGGCGGTGATCGAGATGTGCTGCTGGTCACCGCGGCAGCCCCATGTCCGGATTTCAGCCGCCTCAACGCATCGGCCGGGGGGCGCTCGGGTGCTTCAGGCGACCTCTTTGTTACCTTTGCAAAGTTTCTGCGCAAGCTTCTGAGTTTCTTCCCGGGGCGGAAAGCTTGTTTGCTCGCTGAAAATGTGCTGATGCAGAACGCGGGGGATGTGCAATACTTTTCCCGTGAGCTCTGTGCCGAGCCGATTATTGCTGACGCCTCCGACTACCAAGTCATCAGCAGACCGAGATTGTGGTGGTCATGGATTCCTTGGACGGATGTGGATGTGTACCCTGATACACAGCAGAAGTTGCAATGGAAGAAGGCGGACAACAGGCTGGCTAAATTGCGTCTATGGGTGCCACCGGACACGGTTGCCGACATGCAGCCAGACGGGCTGCGTTTTCATCCCGATGTCTTGGCGGGCAAACACTTGTTGCCCTGTCTTACCACGCCTGCTCTGACAGAGTCTGGCCGTGAACCTCCGAAGAAAATGCGAGCCAAAATCGATTCGCAGACTCGCCAGAGGTGGCTTGAAGACCATCGACAATACGCTCCTTGGTTTTATGACGAGCGGAACATGTTGACGGCCGGAGATTCCTCTTTCCATATACTACCAGTGGAGACGAAGGAGGCCTTGCATCACTTTGACCGGGGCTTCACGGCTCACCCGGACAACTCCGAGAAGGATCGGAACAGATTGTTAGGCAACAGCTGGCACGTTGGCGTCGCGCAGAATCTGTTGCATTTTGCTTTGAAGCACGGCATTGTCGTGCTACCAGGCCCTTTTGGCCCATCCGGGAGCATTGCTTCTCAGATGACTGATTTAGCGTCGGCTACTAGAGTCGCTTCCCAGGAGCCTTTGCCCGTGCGGAGGGCAGCTGAAATGAATGAGCATGCGCACATGGTCCCAGTTCAGGGCATGTGGGAACATTGGCACGCAGCGTATCAAGCAGTACACCCGGCACTGTTGCCCGTGGTGTTGGATCCAGGTCTCGAGCTCACCATTCGACGCCTCATACACTTGAGCCCTTCTAGACTCAAATCCCTTAGGGAACATGTCATCGCAGACATTCAGCGACAGAAGGTTTCGATGTCGAGTGCCACAGATCGTTGGTTTCGCAGTTTACCTCAGCATGTGCAGAGGGCATACACGTTGGAAGACGGTGCCATCGTTCAGATCCCTCTGTTTATTACTCTGCTCCGAGGTTGCGGCTATCCGGACTGCGACTCCCTGGAAGAGGCACTGACATTCGGTTTTCCCGTCACTGGTGCCATAGACCACACGCCTGGCTGGCGACCCAGATTAGATGACAAATACAGTGCACCGATCTCCTCTGGTTCGTTTGCGGCACTCAATCGTGGTTATGTACTGCAGAAGTTGCAAAGGAGTCGCGTTGATCCGGAGTGGCAAGCGCTGCTGTCGGAAATCATCGCTGAGGTGCACAAGGGCCGGATGCAGGGGCCGTTCCGAGCCCCACCGGACTGGCCGCGCCAGTGTGTGCCGATCCATTCACATTCGGGTTTTGAGCGCTGTCTGGAGCTGCCGGACAATGACATAAGAGTTGCTGGCGCCTTCTCAGTCAAGCAGACTGGGAGCGATGGCAGTGATAAGGTGCGGCGGTGTGAGGATTACCGCCGCAGTTTTCATAATGCAACCGTGGGTGCATCAGACATTCCGGCACATGACACGATCCATACTTATGTCAGTGTTCTGTTGCGGTTGCAGCGCGAGGGCTTCTTGACCAAGGTTTGGTGCCAGGACCTGTGGGCCGCTTACAGACAGTTTCCTGTCAGGGAGCCGCGTGAGGCTTTTACGCTGCTCGCCACGCCCACTGGACCCACACTGTGGTGTCATGGAGTGCTACCTTTTGGAGCAGCCTCGTCCGTTTGGTGCTTTAACAGATGTATTGATGCTTTAGCATTTTTGGCTAGAACGCTCTTGATCATTTTGATCATCCACTACGTGGATGATATCGGGGGGCCCGACACGGCGGACAGTGCAGCCTCTGGCTTCTGGGCTTTTGCGGAGCTGTGTGAACTTCTGGGCATGCGCCTGAAACCGGCGAAAGCTCAACCACCTGATATAAGACATAAGTTGCTTGGGGTAATATTGGAGATCCTCCCGGAGGGGCTTCGACTCTCTCCAGCTCCTGACCGCATTGCTAAGGTCGTCGCGATGATGCAGACGGCTCTGCAGTCGGATTCTCTTGACCCAATGGTGGCTCAGCGCTTAGCTGGAAAGCTTAACTTCTTACAAACCACGATGTTTGGACAAGCAGGTGCAGCGGCTGTCAGGCCGATTTATTCTCGGGGCCAGGCAGTGGCCGGGTCTGCTGAGGTCCGCTTGAACAGCGCACTACGCTGCTCTCTTAAGTTCTTGATCAAACTGCTGGAGGCCAGCAAGCCGAAGTGGATACCTTTCTGCCCCACCCCGGATGATCATTCCGTGTTGTATGCTGATGCGTTTTTCGAGCTGGGTGACAGCTCCTTCGGGCTTTCTGACGAACCCCCGCAACACTGGAACAATCGCTCTTCGTGTATGTATCGCAACGGCTGGGGCTTTGTGGTGCGCACACCGCATGGTGTGCGGTACGGAGCTGGCAGGGTTCCTGCT